GCAAAGATGTCACTTTGAGGACTAAGGTGCACCTAACCCAAGCCATAGTATTTTTAATCCCCTCATATGCATGTGAAAACTGGACAGTGAATAAGGAAGACAGAAGAATTGATGCCTTTGAATTATGGTGTTGGCAAAGAATACTGAATATATCACAGACTGCCAGAAGAACGAACAAATCTGTCTTGGAAGAAGTACAACCAGAATGCTCCTTAGAAGCAAGGATGGCAAGACGTTGTCTTACATACTTTGGACATGTTATCAGGAGGGACCAGTCTCCGGAGAAGGACATCATGCTTGGTAAAGTAGAGGGTCAGCAAAAAAGAGGAAGATTGTCAGTGAGATGGACTGACACAGTGGCTGCAATAATGGGCTCAAGCATAACAATTGTGAGGATGGCACAGGACCGGGCAGGGTTTCATTCTGCTTGAATTAGAACTGACTTGATGGCACCTAACAACAATAACGTTATTGTCTTCCAGGCACTGAGCTGGAAACTGGAGGGCTTTTTTACAGTCCTCTGTGGCTCCATGGCTGTCGTGGAGCTGGGCTGAGAGCTAAATCCTCTCCTGGTTATACTCTGAGTGAGTCCAGATGGGGATTCTGGAGGGAGGGGAGAAGGTAGATGGGATAGTAGAGTTTCAGTGGGGTGATCAGTTTTCTCATCTATACAGACACGAACATGAACTGTTACATGGATTAGAAGCACCTAGCACACTAGCACACTGCCTGATACACATTATGAGCTTAATTAATGGCAACTGTTGACCCCGTGGCATATAAATCAAAAGATCCCGGTTCTTGCCCTGACTCTGCCATTAACTAGCTTCGTGGCCTTAGGTGTCTCTCTTTCTCCTATGGATCCCAGTTTCTTCATTTTCCCCTTGGGGGTGTGGACTCACTGTTCTCTGAGGCCCTTTCAGTTGGGAGAATTGGGTTTCTAAGTTTCCTTCCCTAGTTCTGAAGACCCTGTCATACTCTCAGCTGCGACTAGGGGTCAGCACGAAACCAAGGATTGGGCTAACACAAGCCGAGGGGGATAAAAGAGGGAGGAAGGGAGGGAGGATGCCCGCCAGTGAACAGATAGGACGGAAAAGGCTCCCATGGCAGATCTCATTCCTGCCCAGGACATGCTCATTCCCATCTTCTCTCCCTGTAGCCACACGCTCCCCCAAGTTCTCCAATGTGAAACACACTCCCCTCCTCTGGGAAGCAAGGAATGGCTTTGGAACTAAGAAGTCACCAATTCCGCTTCCTAGCCGTCGGTCTTGGACAATCACCTCACCTTCCAGAGCCTCAGTTTCTTTAGCTACAAAATGAGTTGTTATCAACCTCACAGGTGAGATAATGGATGTCAGAGACCATAGCCCTGGCACCAGTAGGGTCTCTATAATGGGAGTCCTTTTCTCCCACTTTCCCCAGAGCAGAGCAGCCTTAGGGATGTAGTACTTGGTTCTTCCAGTCCAGCAGGCTGTGCGAGACCAGCCTGAGGCAGAGCGGGGCCACAGAGGCACAAGGAAGAGGTGTGGACTCAGCGGAATCCTACCCATCTGCCTCTCTAAATACCCCGTGACCAGGCCTACCCAGTGAACACTCCACAGGTGCTGATGCTGCATCCCACATGGGCTGGGGCTGCAGAAGGTGGACTGTGGGTAGACACCAGAAAGCCGAGCAGGGGCTTTGAGGACTCTCCAAGGGCAGGTGAAGTGCTTGGGAGGGGGAGAGTCTCTTTTCCGGAGGTTTTTACACACAGTTAAGGTCTCCCTGGGTTAGGTGCTGGCCTCCTGAGGCAGGGCCATGGAAACCTGGCCCTCCCTGGCCAGCCTCAGGGCCCCAGGAGGGTCCTTAGAAGCATCCAGGGATCCTGGGGTAAATTCTTAATCCTCATCTCATAGCTTCCACCTGCCTCAGGCCTGAGTCCAAGTGGGTGAGCCAGCGAGAGAGAGAGAGAGAGACTTACAAACTTGGGTGGGCAGGACAACATAGTGTGTCTGTTACAAACTTGGGTGGGCAGGACAACATCGTGGTTAAGAGTCCCAGCTTTGGAGTTGGTCTGACCAAATATTCAAGTACACACACACACACACACACACACACACACACACACAGACAGGCACAAACATGGACACCTTCTCCAAGACAGGGATTGCACTTGGGCTTACCACACCCAGAGATGTGGACCCAGGGTCAGAACCCCCACAGTGAATCATCTGAGGACACTGATCCACGTGCATACACAGAGACACGCAGAGGAGATGTGTCAGACGCCCACACCAGCCCCTCACTGACACCACCATGAGGATGCAATCTGCCAGACACGCGATGTGGGCAATTCTGCAGGACAAATGACTCAGTTTCTTCAGCAAAGAAACAGCATGAGGGAAAAAGGGAGAGGGAATTATTATAGATCAAAACATACTTGGGAGGCCTGTCAACCAGATGCACTGTGTGGACTGTGTTTGGACCCAAGTTTTAACAACTCAACTGTAAAAAGATGTTTTTGAGATGATCAAAAAATTGAACATGGATTTAGTACTAGATAATGTGAAGGAATTATTGCCAGTTTTGTTGGGTGTGATAACAGCATTGTGGTATATATTTTTTAGAAAGTTCTTTATGTGTTAGAGATACTTCTGGATGTATGTATGTATAAAATGATAGGCCATCTGGGATTTTCTTTAAAATACTACAGATAAAAAAAGTAGGGGGACAGATAAAGCAAGAATGGCAAATGCAGACAAATGTTGAGCTGGTATTGGATTCATTATCCTATTCATCATTATATGGCTCATTATACTATTCTTCCTACTTCTGTGTATGTTTGAAACTTTTCTAATAAAAGAACAATCCAAGCTGGGGTCACTTCACTCTTTGCTCTCTCCTCCCCCCGCCCCTCCTGCCTCAGCACAATCCCTCTTGCCCCCTGGCCTCCAAGGCAGGTGAGATGGATAATCTGGGTCAGGGAGAGAAGAGCATAGATGATCTCTGTCCCCTGAGAAGAGAGCCTCTCCTCCCCTGGCCCCAAGCTCAGGCCCTGCCCCCCAGGGACAGCTGCGCTCCTAACTTATCCTCACAATAGCCAGAGGTGTGGGTATCACTAACTCCCAGAGGCACACAGGCAACATGCAGCAAAACAGGACCCAAAATGCAGATCCCTCTGACTCCAGAGCCATGGCTTTTCCTGCTCGCTGCCTCTGAGAGGTGCTGGGACCAACACAGTGTTTGGTGGGAGGGGACCAGGGTCCAGCTCAGTGGCATGATCTAGAATTACCTAGAAAATGGGCACCATAATACCCACCACATGAGTGAGGTGATTCTGCACCCTGTCAGACTCAACATCTCCTTTTCAAATAGTGACTTTGTGAGGCCCCTTTTGTGAAAAAACTGCAGTGTAACTCCCAATCATAGTGACAGCCAAAAAAACCCCTCAAATTCCCAAAGTGCCCTCTGGTGGAGGGGGGGTGGGGGGTACTGCCCTGTTTGAGAACCACTGGTTCAAGGCTTTCCTGGGTGAGAAGACCCTTGTCCAGAGAGGAGGGTCTGCCCAAGATAACAATAATGTCTAACTCCTATTTAAAGAGTACTTTCTGTGTGCAGGCTCATATGTGGGCACCGTGCACATGCTAACCTATCTGATTCCCACAACAACCCTCTGGGGCAGGCATCCTCATCATTCCCACTGCACAAGAGGAGGACACTAGGCACAGAGAAGATAGGAAACTTGTCCAGGGTCCCACAGCTGGTGCAGCAGAGCCTGGATTCAAAACCAGGCAGCATGGCTCTGGAGACCGCCCTCTCAATCCGAAGTTCTGCTGCGGAGTCAAAGAGCACACCTCTTTGTCTCTCCTCTGCCTTCCTGGCCAGCTTCTACCCAGATCACCAAGGACCCTTCCCAGCTCACAACCTGGCAGTTTCTGGCCCAGGCCTACAACCTCCTCTGTCCCTCCCAGGCCCTCAGGATAAAGGCTAATTCTTTTTAGCAAGACATCGTCAGGATTGGATCCCATCCAAGCTCTCCGGCCTTACTTTCCACCAATCCTTTCCATATACCCAAAACAGGGCTAAAGAGTGTTGCTATTATTCTATTATATTCATCATATCTATTTCCCAACAAGGCCCTCCCTCCAGGTCTTTGCCCATCTCCTGCTAGAATGGCAGCTTGGCCCTTCCCTCCCCACTCCAGTCTGTTAGGACCCAAAGGTGGCACTCACCATGGGGGCCCCGCGGTGGCCGATGAGGGCAGGCTTGGGGCCCAGGTCCTTTTTCTCCATGATGCAGGGAGAGGAGATGGAGAGTGGGGCCAGGTAGAGGGCAAACACCACGGTGAAGAAGGTGCAGAGAATGGCCATCTGGGAGGCTGCATGAGCACCACCTGGTGAGCCGCTCAGCTCCCACCAGCCCTGGGAAGCTTGGGGGTGGGATGCTGGGCCCTGTTTCCCTTCACCCATCAGGACCCAGATGTTCTGAGGAGACCCTGTACCAAGGGCCGCCCCCATTCTTGCTGGGAAGGTGAACCAACCTCTAACTCACACACGTGCACACGCAGACATAGAGACGACTGCCAGGCAGACAAGGCTGTAACCTTCCCTGGACTCTGTAGGCCAGTCTGGCTCAGAACCCCACCCCACCTTTCCACTGAGAGGGAGGGCCCTACCTCATCCCCATGCCACCCAGGTAGAGTTCAGGTGAGGGTAGGACAAGCTGGCCTTGGAACTTGGGGGTGGGGAAAGGCCAGGCCCTTCCCAGCCATACTCACAGGACCGCTCTGCACGGGCAAACTGTCCAGCCACGATCCATGAGAGGACAGTGATGGCAGCCAGGGTCCCCATGTGCAGGAACGGTGCTGTGCCCTATGGGGGGGGGAATAGTAAGAGGGACCAGTGACTCCCAGCCATGGCCAGCCCCCACTGGTCATCCATGTCCTGTCTACCCACCCCTATCAGTGGGCCAGGCAACCTTGTCTCCATTTTTCAACCGAGGAACCTGGGAGTCTCAGGGACTCTGAGTTGTAGCACCCTCCCTGCCTCTAACTTGCTGCGCGACCCTGGGCCCATCCCTGCCCCTCTCTGGGCTTTGGTCTGGAGAAATGGGACCCTGCCTTGTTGCAAGGGTCCTAGGGAAGCGGCGCCCCCCACTCACCTGCAGGGAGATCAGCAGTACCTCCCACTCGTCCTCCCACAGCTGGGCCACAGCCGACATCGCCACCACTGTGAAGATCAGGATGACCACCAGCCCCACCTAGAAGGGAACAGTCACCAGACAGAGGGTCAGATCAGGTGTGCCTGGACAGCCCAAGGCTTCCCAGTGTGTCTGAGGGAGGGGAGCAGAGACAGAGAGGCAGAGGGAGAGACCAAGAGACAGACAGGGGGAAATGGAGAGTCTAAGAGACACAGGAGAAGCCAGGAGGAGGGGAAGAGAGAGAGAAAGGCATGGATAGAAAGAAAGCCAGAGACAGACCAGTGGACTGAGATGATGGGAGCAAGGCAGAGGCAGGAGGATGCAGACAGACCCAGCCAGTAAGGGGCAGTAAGAGAAGTAGAAGGGAGGGTGGAAAGGAGACAAGATAAAGAGAAAGCTGGGGCAGGGCGCAGGCACATCCTGGGGCTCAGCCCTGAGAGGACAAAGGAGGGGAAACGCTCAGTGAATGGGGGCTCCCCTGCACCCAGCCAGTTACATCCACGGCCTCAACGTGCCCTCCCAGCACCCCCGTAAAACAGATTACTCCACCCTGCATGACAGATGAGGAAACTGAGGCTCTGCTGTGGTGTGGGTTGAGGAGGGACTTGCCCGGCTGCAGGAGGCTGAGGAGCTCGGTCTCCTGAGGAGTGTGACATCCCGCCCAGCCTCTGGCACTGGCTTGGCCTGGCTTCAGGCTGGGAGCAAGCTAAGCGGTGGGGCACGGGCCTGCCCTACCCTGAGCCGTCCCACGGCTTGCTCTCAGCCCCAGCTTCTAATGTGTTATGGGGGCTCCGATGGAGGACAAGGTGGCACCTTCACGGGACAGGGATCTTTGGGGACAGATGGGATCTTATGCAACACAAAATCCTCCCCCAAATTAGGAGATGCCTAGCTTCCAGCTACTCAGTCTCCAGGGCCTCCTTTAAGCCCTGGATGTCACCCTGCTCACGCTGCCCACACTGCAAGATCTGCCTCCCCAAAGCACACGGCTCACCTCTACTCCAAAGCCCTCTGCAGTCCCCACTGTCTACAACAGGCCAGTTGAGGCCACTACACTGGCCCTACTGACACCTTCAGACTCATTCCAGCCTTCTACGCCCCAGGAAGACCTGTCCTTCCCCTCACCCGCTGGCACTGCGGGGCCACCCTGCCTTCCCCAAGCTGCTGTCTGCCACCAGTGCCCTCACCCCTGTCTCTCCCTGTGAGGCCCTTCCTCGAGGCAGCAGCACTCTGAGAATGCACCAGCCACCAAACACAGGCTAAATGGAATTTCTGGACGATTGAGGGCAGAGACAGTGGTCTATCCATCTTCCTTTCCTGCCAGGTGGGGAAGATTAATTCTTGCCTGGGATTAAGTTTGCCTTTGGAGGCTTGTCATTCAGCCCATCAGCCTGGAAACACATGTTCCAATAAGAAACAGTAACAAGGCTGAGATAGGCAAAGGCCTTTATGAGGTGTGACAGGCTGGCTCCAGGGACAAGAGAAGGGAAGGAAATGCAGGTTTACAAAGGGCCATGTGTGCCCAGGCCTGTGTGAGGCACTCCACGTTACCTCCCGTTTATTTGCGCCATAGCCCAGGTGAGGTCTTACCATCCTCATTTCATACACAGGGAAATGAGGCCCAGAGAGGCTAGGGGCTTGCTTAGTCACACAGCTTTTTTAAAAATTTATTTTCCTTTATGTTGTTGTTGAGAATATACACAGCAAAACATACCCCAATTCAACAATTTCTACACGTACAATTCAGTAACACTGATTACATTCATCAAGTTGTGCAACCATTCTCACCTTCCTTGTCCGAATTGTTCCTCCCCCATTAATGTAAACTCATTGCCCCCTAAGTTTCCTATCTAACCTCTCTAGTTACTGTTCCTCAAAAAGTTAAACACAGAATTACCATCTGACCCAACAATTCCACTCCTACGTATATATAAGCCCGAGAGAAATGAAAGCAGGACTCAAACAGGTGTGTGTACACTAATGTTCATTGCAGCACTGTTCACAATAGCCAAAACGTGGAAACAACCAAGGATCTCTCAACAGATGAGTGGATCAGCAGAATGTGGTCTATTGTACAATGAGATATTATTCACTCATAAAATGAAATAAAGCTCTGATACATGCTACAACATGAAACTTGAAAACATCGTGCTAAATGAAAGAGGCCAGACACAAAAGGACAAATACTGCATGATCCCTCTTGTATGAAATATCTATAATGGGCAAATGCATGGAGACAGGAAGTAGATTAGAGGCTATCAGGGGCTGGGGGAGTGGGGAGTGGGGAGTGGGGAGGTATTGCTTAATGGGTATAGAGTTTCTGTTTGGGGTGATGGAAAACCTTTGGAAAAGAATAGTGGTCATAATTGCACAACACTGTGAATGTAATGCCACTGCATTGTACACTTGAAAATGGTTAAAATGGCAAATTTTGTAATACACATTTACCACAATAACATTTTAAAAAATTTAATTAAAACAAAACAAAAACGAGTAAGGATTTCTTAGAATCTTAAAATCAAATGATAGAATCTGGGAAGCAGACTAGTAGAATCTCCAGCCTCAGCTTGAGAACTCCGAGCCCTGGGGACCGCTCTTTCCCTCCGGGTGCAGCAGGCTGGGCCATGGATCATCTCCGGCTGGAAGGAGCCTTCACATGCTGGGATCTCTCCGGAGGCTGACAGAAGGGAGAGGAAGGCAGCCCTGGCGCCCGGGGAGCTGGCACCAGTGGGGATGAAGGGCTCCGATCCTCCAGCCCCCAAGAGAAAGCCTGGCATTGATCTGCCCACCTCTGGCCAACCCAGCACCCCTGAAGCCTCTCCACTGAGATCAAGCAGGTGGGAGCTGACCTGCCAAGAGCTGGGCACAGCCCAGAGGAGGTGCCCACAGCGTGCGCCAGCCCTGCCTGGGGTGCCAGCTGGTGCAGTTCTTTCATGTGTCAGCTTTGCAGCCAGAAGGAGAAAGTGCTATACAGACAGGACTGTGGAAGCCCAAGGGAGACCTCAGGACTGAGTGACAGGAGGGAGCAGGGGCTGTGTGCTGCTCTTCACCCCTCTAAGACTTCAGCCACCATTTGTGTGCCGACGATCCAACTCTGGGCCTGTCTCCTGAGCTCAGACTTGTGTCAGTAACTGATCTTAGATGCCCCCTCGGATGCTCACAGGCACCTCACCCTCCACAAAGCTCCACCGAGATCACACCACTTCCCTCTTCCTGGTCCTGTTCCACTGGCAGTGGGTCCCACCCCTCAGAGTCATTCTGGACCCATCTCACGGGCTCACAGTTATTTCTGGACGTTTCTGTCCCTTCCTAATCAGCACGTGCTGGGCTGGGCTGGGCTCTGGGAAAGAAGGGATGACCCAACCCTTCCTCCACGGCCCATGGGCTCCAGAGGAGGAAAGAGGTCTATCCTGGTCAGCTTCGTACAACCCCTGTGCCCTGTCCTGGGGCCTCAAAAGAGTAGGCATCAGAAACACACAACCAGCACCACACATACACTGAATGGGGAGTGACAGCCAGGGCTCCAGAATACATGAAGCCCACCTGCTTGCGGCCCGGCCCTGAGTAGGGTACTGGGGACACACAGGTGGGGAGCCAGTTCTCTGGCCTGTGAGGAACTTCCAGCCTGGGGAGTGTGGGCCTGGGGTGGGGGCAAGGGAGACAGATGGAAACCACGATGCAGATGCTCAGGAATGTGGCTGGGGAGGCTGCAGGGGCCTGAATACATGGGCAAGTGTCAAGGAAGGGAGAGAAAGAGAGGGCAAGGGCAAAGGACTAAAAGTAGAGAAGAGGTAGACACACTGGGGGAGTGGGGATGAGGGAGCCTGAAATGTTTCATGTAGCAGAAGCTGAGGGCAATTGTCCCACGACAGAGCTGGGGGAGGTCAGCAGGGCCTGGGTCATGCAGGGCTGTGATGCTGGGCTAGAGTTTGGATCATTCAGGGAGCAGTGGGAGTTGTGGAATGGACTTTAAGCGGGGGAGGGATCAGGGTTTTAAAAAGAGCTCCCTGAAGCCAGCCAGAGGGCCTGGCTAATAGCTCGGCTACAGGGCTAGAACCCTGGATCCTCCACTTATTAACTGGGAGACCCTGGGCAAGCTACTTAACCTCTTTGTACCTCAGTTTTTCCAACTGCAAAATGGGATGATAATAGTACTTACATCATAGGGTTGCTACGAGGGTTAAATGAGTTAATAAAGGCCCAGTTGTGAGAACAGTGCTTGGCATATAGTGAGTGCTCAGGATTAGCAATTACAACAATTATTATTATTATCCAAGGGAAGGTTGGTGTGTCCAGGCTCTTCCTTGGCCACTGCAGCCTCCCTGCCTCCCCTGCCCTCTCCCAGCCCTGGCTGAAGCAGCCCTTACCTTGTGTAGCCAGTACAGGTTCATCTGCTGCCCCACGGTGATGTGACATAGTGCCAGGATCTGAGGAGGGGTCCCCATGGAGACAGTCAGCTCCATGTGGGACAAGAAGGCTGCCACCACTGGTCAGGATTCCCCCGACACCCACGCGCCCGACTGCTGCTCTGGGCCTGACTCAGAGCCCAGAGTCAGCACACCCTCCCTATGGACGATGGGAATGCCCAGCTCTGCCCTGCCCTGCGCTGCCCAGCCCAGCCCAAGCCTGGCCTGCTCCCAGAATCTTTCAGGCCCCCAGGTTCCCATTCTCTGGGATTTCTCCTCAAGGGGTCACTGGGCCCTGCTGCACTTGCACTGCCCAACTTAATTCATCAAATGTTTCGAGAGTTCCAAGTCCCAGGATTCTGAAACAGACCAGGTCTGAATGGGCAAAGTATTGGAAGCAGGTACCCACCCAGAGCTTCCCAAAAGAGGGACATCAGCAGTGGGCCCTAATAGCTGGGATGGCTCTCACCAGGTCAGAGGGAGAATGTTCCAAGAAGGGGCAGCCAAGGGAGGCAGGAGAAAGCAAGATGACCTCCCACACTGGAACACCTAAGCCTCAGAGCTACAGCAGCACAAGAGGCCCTGGGAAAAGCCAACCTCTCCTTTAGACCAGGGCAAGCCCCTCCCTCAGCTTGGTACAGGCCAAGCCCCCTTCCCTCTGGGAGCAGGACCACCTGCCCCTCTTGACAGCCCCCACGTACCAGGAGGCCTGCAATATAAGTGAAGGCAGCAGCTGTGGTCACGAGGATGGGCACGGACCAATCGCTCCAGTAACCCATGCGGTTGTAGAGGTACCTACAAGGAGGAGGAGGGGCAGGGGTCAGACCTGGTCCAGGAACCAGGAAGGCCCACTGGTCAGGAGACCTGTGAGTTCTAACACAGCCAGACGGGCCACAGGCCCCGCCCAGTGACCAGGTGCTGCCCATGAAGTCCTGATGCTTCTTATTGCCCCAAGCATCAGTCATGCCAGCTCATTGTGGGAAACCCAGGGATACTAAGAGGCATACAGAAAACTACAGTTCCTACAAGTTCTACTGCCCAGAAGCAATCATTACCAAGACTGTACTGAATTTTCTTCCAGTAGGTTTTTTCCCCTTTGCTTATATATTTGTATACACAGCAGACCCAGGGCAACATGGTGTCCAGCACAGTGAGTGAGTGAGATGCCCACATCGGATTCAGATCCCCACTCTGCCTCTAACTGGCCTGTAGGGGCTTGCAGAGGCAACAGGCTTCTTGGACTCTAAGATGCCATGATTGTGAGAGTCATTTCTCTTTCAGGGTTAAATGCGAAAATACGGGGTCTTAGAATTGATGTAGGAAACCCTGGTGGCGTAGTGGTTAAGAGCTACATCTGCTAACCTAAAGGTCAGCAATTCAAATCCACCAGGCGCTCCCTGGAAACCCTGTGGGGGCAGTTCTACTCTGTCCTACAGGGTCACTATGAGTCGGAATCGACTCAATGGCAATGGGTAGAACTGATGTTGTTAGGCGCCATCCAGTCGGTTCCGACTCATAGTGACCCTACAGTCATTGCTATGTTTGGGCCCATTGTTGCAGCCACTGTGTCAGTCCATCTTGTTGAGGGTCTTCCTCTCTTTCACTGACCCTCTACTTTACCAAGGATGATGTCCTTCTCCAGAAACTTGTCCCTCCTGATAACATGTCCAAAGTACGTGAGACGAAGTCTCGCCATCCTCCCTCTAAGGGGCATCCTGGCTGTACTTCTTACAAGACAGATTTGTTTGTTCTTCTGGCAGTCCATCGTATTATTCAGTATTCCTCCCCAACACTATAATTCAAAGGCATCAATTCTTCTTTGGTCTTCCTTATTCATTGTCCGGCTTTTGTATACATATGAGGCAATTGAAAATACCATGGCTTGGGTCAGGTGTCTCTTATGCCTCAAAGTGACATCTAAAATTGATAATGTAATGTAATACCTGACTTCTCTGAGCCTTATCTATAGGGTGGGGGTAAGAACAGAATCCCCTTCATAGTGAGGTGAGGCACATGTTAAGTGTTCAATAAATAACTGCTCTGCTTCTTAATAACATAAGACTTACCGATGTCAGTAAAAATCCTAAGGAAATGCGATTTTAACAGTCATGTGGTACTCCATTGAATTAATGAATCATAATTTATGTAACTCCCTACTAATGGCACTTAATGGTTTTCGATTATTCACTATTAAAAATTAATACAAAGATGAAAATTTTTGTACATATATCTTTCTGTAATTTGAGTTATTTCCTTAGGGTAGATTCTTACAAATAGAATTATAGGGGTAAAGGGAATTAATTTTTTAAGGATCCAGATATTGCTTAGTTGCTTTCTAGAAAGTCTGAATCACCGTATCCTTCCTGTATAACTGGGGAAACTGAGACTCAGAGAAGGCAGCAACTTGCTCTAGATTGTCTGAGAAACAGACTGAACACCAGGCAGTTTCAGGCCTGCTGCCATTTTGGGCCTTGGTGGGGGATGGGAGGGGAGACAAGGAGGATGCCATGGGGCATCTGCCCTCCCCGCACTCTTACCTGGCCCTCACCCTCAGATTCCAGGGGAAAATATGCTGCCCAGAAGATCCCTGAGTGCACATAACTTACTGTACAATTGGGGAAACTGAGGCTCAGAGAGGGGAAGGATGTGCTGGTCCTACCTGTCTTAAGTGTGACCACTTTCGGAAGAAAGCCTCCTGGATGGTGACAACCCAGATGGCCCTGCCTGGTCCTCCTCATCCAGCTCTGACCATCTGGATCTTGCTCACATCCTCTTACAAAATGAACGTCCCTATTCCCAGAGACTCTCATGACCTTGAGGGTGGGTCTAGGACCCTGAACCCCAGCATTGACTCCAACAAACTGAAGTGACATACTGAAGGAGCTGCAGGTCCCCAGGCCATCCGAGTCCCAGGACAGGCCTTCCCTCTGCAGCCTCCCCAGCTCTGCTTAAGCCTCCAGTGACAGGGAGCTCACTCTCTGGGGCCAAGTGGGCAGCTCTGTGAACAGCATGAGACAGTCATGCAGGTTGAAGTGCCAGTGTGACTTTGGAAAGGCTACTTACCTGCTCTGAGCCTTGGCTTCCTCAGACTGCCTTTTATACATGCTTTTGGAACTGACAGCACAGTAGTTAAGAGCTACAGCTGCAAACCAAAAGGTCAGCAGTTTGAATCCACCAACTGCTCCTTGGAAACCCTATGGGGCAGTTCTCTTCTGTCCCATAGGATCTCTATGAGTGGGAATTGATGTGATGGCAACAGGTTCTTTTGGTTTTTGGTTGTGTGGCTATGGGTGAGTCCTGTCCTTCTCTGGGCCTCAGTTCCCCCATCTATACATGAGGCGGGGTGGACTCGATGATCTTCCAGGCAGCAGACTTCCAGTTCAGCATACACAATCGAAGGCCAACAGGGGACATTCCCATTTACCCATAATGACAGTGCCCATGCTTCGGACACTGTGAAAATGAATAATTGATTTGTGGCATTAAGAAAGGCCAGAGGCCACCTCTGGGACTCAGCTGGGGCCCCAGGTCATCTTTCTGGGCTTCAGGGAGCAGGGACAGGAGAGCAGTGTGTCCTTCATGGTGCTGTGCAGAGGGAGTGGAACCCAGACTCCATGAATGGAGTTTCAGGATTCTCACAGAATCCTAGAACCATGGCCCATCAGAATCTCAGTGTTCTGGAGTCCTAGAAACGCCAAGTTCTAACACCATGGCACTGTGGCCACTTTCTAGCTGGAGATTCTGCCTCCCAGGAAGCAGCCTTACAATTTAGGTGGAGCTTTGAGCCCTGTCACGTCTATTTCATCCTCAGAAAGACCTGATGAGGCTGGAGTTATCCCATTTTACAGAAGAGGAAACTGAGGCTCAGAGATGGCTGAGCTTCTGATCAAAAGAAAGAAACAGCACTGGATAGGGAGTGATGAGGCCTGGCATCTGAGCCTCAATTCTGCCCCTAACTGACCATGTGAACTAGAGCCTCAGTTTCCCCACCTGTCAATGGAGAGGTTCCCACTAGAACCTAGGGTCCTTCCCCTCCACCCATGGCCTTTCACTCCTTGACAAAAGGCAGGAAATGGAGGTTGGGAGGAGGGTGAGGAGGAAACAGGTGTCCCTCCTGCTCCCAGGAAACTGCCTGAGACAAGCCTGCCCTTTGGACCTGAGGTCAGTACCCACAAAGGATCCTGTGCCATCCCAGAACCACAGCATCTGCCAGCCCTGCCCAGGGTCCAGCTAAGGGAGTTAGGAGGCCTGGGGTCTGGTGCTACCTCCTCTGCTGAGACCTTGGTCTCTCTGGGCCTTGGTTTTCTTGTTTATAAAGGGGCAACCAGCGGCCCTGGCCCTAGGCTGAGTCCTGCCCTCAGCCTTACAATTCTCATTGCCCATCCTAGCAGCACCAGGAAGGAGCTTCCTGTATCTCCCTAGATTTCCTCAGCTCTTGTCTGAGGGTCTTTCATTCCAGCTGCTAAGTCTTTTTCCTTTCTGTGCCCCAGGCTTCAGTAATGCAGGCTGAGTCACGGAGGGAACACCAGGGGCCTTGAAGGAGACCGGCAGCTGCAGTCCCATGTGTTCCAAACCCAGCCATCCTTCAAGGCCACCTCCCATGCCTCCTCTTCCAGGAAGCCTTCCCTAACCCCCTGGGGGACTCCCCTTGGGGCACAGATTTCTCTTTTTCCTCGTTCCAGATATTTCCTTGTTCACCTCCATTGCTAGGCTGGGGACTCCTGGGGACAGGACCCAAGTCTGTCCTCTCTCTTGACAGCCTGTGGTACTCACCCACTTCCCACCTACAGTATCTTGCCAGCCTCACCAAAGCCCTGGGAGGTAGACAGGACAGAGGCTCAGAGGGGATGGCCTTGCCCAAGACCACACAGAGTGCTAGTGGCAGAGCTCCGATAGCCAAGCTGGGAGAGAGGCACAAACCTGAGCCCCTAGGTCCCAGCCCAGGCCCCAGGGTCCTGCCCCCTCCCACCCCACACCCACTCACCAGTTGAATTCATCGTAGTCATTGTGAACTTCCCACCAGAAGTAGAGCCAGGTGAGTGTGAGACCAAAGGTGAAGGTGAGGAGCAGGAACCAGAGGCGTTCCCACTGGAAGAGCAGAGCAAGGAGAGGGGTCACACAGGATTGAGGCAAGGCCCCCAGGCCACCTCCCACTCAGAATGTTCCCCCTCCTCCCACTTTGTAGCCAAACCCAACAGGCAGGGATTATTGCCCTCTTAGCATAGGCCAAGAACTGAGGCCCAGAGATGGGAAGTGACCAGTCCGACATCACATAGCCCAAAGTCACACAGTGGTGGGGAGCTAGGGGTAGGAGTCAGGGGTCTGTCCAGAGCTGTGTTCTTTTTGCTGTATCCTGAGGCCTTTCCAGTGGGTTCCCATCTCCCATTCTGGCAATGACACCCAGAAGCAAAGGCTACGACTGCCCTGAAGCCTTCGTACTGGTGCAGTGACCCACAGTTTGTGAAGTCACACCTCTCACTTTGTTTTTGTTTTTGTTTTGGTGAAAATATACACAGCAAAACACTGATTTAATTTCTACATGTACCATTCACACTGTCTTTTCCAGATTATCCCATCACCATTTACATAAACTCACTGCTCCCTAAGCTTCTCATCTAACCTTTTGAGTTGCTGTTGTCAATTTGATCTCATATAGACAGTTCTTCAAAGAGCACAATGCTCAAGGCAAACATTCTTTATTAATTAAGCTAAATTATTGTTTAGTTTAAAGATAACTTCAGGGGATAGTTTCAGTGTAAGGTTTAAGGTTTAAAGATTATCTCAGATCAATAGTTTCAGAGGCATCCAATCTCAATGGCTCCAGGTCTGGATTCTATGGGAATTTGAAATTCTGTTCCACATTTTCAACCCTTTTAATCAGGATTCTTCTATAGAATGCTTGATCAAAATGTTCAGTAATGGTAGCTGGGCACCATCCAGTTCTGGTCTCATGGCAAAGGAGGCAGTTACTCATGGCTCCATGGCTCAATTAGCGATGCATTCCATTTCTTCCTCCTATTCCTGACTGTCCTTTTTCCTCTGTTGCTCCAGGTGAATTGAGATCAATTATTATATTTTAGAACCCTTACCTCATTTAATCCTTACAAGTACCTACAAAGGAGGCGTTCTTCCTCCTCACTTTCACCCATGCTACAGATAAAAACACTCAGGCCCAGAGAGGTAAAGTGACTTGCCCGAGTCACACAGCAAGTTAGCTGAGGACTAAGGACCAGAGCCCCATCCTCAGGCCTTAAAGAAGTGCATTGTTCTGTCACCTCCACCAGGCACTGGCCCCTTAAGGCTGGGCCAGGTCCCCCTCTGTCTCAGCCAGGGTGGGGGAGGGATGGTGGAGGGATGCTGACCCCACCACGGCTGCTTCCCGAAGAGCCAGCTCAGAGGTCTGCAGGCGCTTCCAGCTAGGCCCTCTGGTTGGTCCTTGCTTTCATCCATCCCCCTTATCTCAGAGGTACAACAAACTTGGGATATCCTGTATGCTGGGAAATTGCTGAGATGTGGGGAGAGGTCCAAGACCCACCCTCCCTTGAGGGGCTCAGGGTTTAGAGTCAGGATGCTTCCCTGCCTCCAAAGCCCAGGCACCTCTCACCTGGGCACAGCCCTGGACTCGTGAGGACCAGCCTTGCTCAGGAGTAGAGAAACCATGGTTAGGAGCAGGACAGGCCATGTGCAACCGAACCCTGGGAGCCACCAGCCAGGGAATGCCTGGGCTGTCTGGGGCAGCAGAACAGGGCCGCAGCTCGGTGCTGCTCTTTGGGGTTGGGCCATGGGACTGTGATTAACGGCAAGGACACCCCTGGCTCAGGAGGGGCTAGTCCACACTGCAATGTCTGAGCCAGCACGCTCACCCTGGCCAGGCCTGGGCCCAGGGCACAGGCAGCCCTGGGAGATTTAGTGCCCCTCAGGTCTAGTCCTTCTGAGAGGCCTCTTCCTGCCTTGGATTCTTACATGCTCACAATAGCTCCATTTCCTGCCGAGTGAAGCTGATAGGTCCCAGGCCAGCTTGCCCATCTGGGTCTCCCAAAGGGTGTGCCATGCCCCAAGACTGATCCACCTCTGGCCATGAGATGCCCTGCTCAAGAGTCCCCACTGGCCGAGCTCCTCAGCCTGACATTCAGGGCCCACCTGATCTGGCCCAAGCCAACCTCTACACTCCCGGCTCTGTCTCTGCCCCCACACATGCATTTTACTCTCCCTGCACTGAGTTACCTACTGTTCCCCAAACAAGTTCTTTCAAACCTCGGTGCCTTTGCCCAAGCTAGAAAACAACCCCTCTCTGGTCCATTGGGCAAACCCTACTTCTCCAAGGCCTTCCCTGGCTCCCAGCAGAGTGAATCCATCTCCCCAGAGTGCCTACAACCCCTTGCATACATCTCTGCTATGGCACAGACCGCACAGTTCTATAACTCTCTCTTCATATGTCGGTCTCCTCTGCTACACTATGAGTGCCCTGAAGGTCTGGGTGGTCTTCATATTCCCAGGGTAGGGTAGGAACTTAAGAAAGATTTGATAATGAAATGGTAGGTGAGAAAACCCTGTCTCCTACCCCAGCATGAGTATGCCCACCCAGGAGAGAGCTCGCTGGGGACTTAACACCCCAGCCCCGCAGAGGAGTACTTAGCCTTCTAAGGACCCTGAGCGGCAGTGCCGCGTGGCTGTCTGTCCATAGAGCTCCACCTCAGCAGGGACAAGGCCACTGACCAGCAGACAGGGTACTGAGGGGTCTGGACGAGGGGTGAGCCTTGATCTATGACAGGTCCTTCCCTAGGCAAGGAGCCTGGAGGTTGATACGTGTTGGGGCCGGGCAGGAGGCTAGCTGCAGGGATAGCAGCAGAGTGGAGAGCCTGCTGCAGATGCTGGGAGGATGTCCTGTGGCAGGGTGCCATGCAGGACCCAGGAGGAATGCTGATAGGTGGCTGGGAAGACTGCAGGTGTCAGGAGGGTCTGTGGCACATAGGGGTCCTGTGCACTAATCATCATCATCCTCACTTGGCTGGATCCTTATAGTGGGGCAGGGCGAGACAGGCATGAATGAGGGGCTGGGTGCTCCCTCCCTGCCCCTGGGAACCAGCCAGGTGACAAGATTAGAGTAGGCAGATGGGTTCAGCATCCAGGGCCTGCAAGGATGGGGGCAGGGCCTACCAACAAGGAACTAAAACCCAAAACCAAACCCGTTGCCGCTGAGTCGATTCTGACTCATAGTGATCCTATAGGACAGAGTAGAACTGCCCCATAGTGTTTCCATGGAGCTGCTGGTGGATTTGAACTGCTGACCTTTTGGTTCGCAGCTGAATGCTTAACCACTGTGCCACCCAGGCTCCACCAAGGAACTAGGAGCCCCATTATCAGAACTGGGGCTCAGGCTGGGGGCAACCTAGGGATTCAAGTCCTGGAGCTGGAAGCAGACGGCATGGGGTCACAGGGAGCCTGCAGACGGGGGTGAAGAGGCCCCGCTGTGGCTGTGGTGGGGAGGGAGGCAGCAGGGTCACTGAGAGAACAATCAGAGGAAAAGCTGAATGGCAGGGGCTAGAGGGAAGGGGAAGGCGAGGAGCTGGTGGAGGAAGTGGCCTGTGGGAACAGCTCCACTGATAAAGAGGCTCCAAATGGTGCTAATGGTCCTTGTCAGGGCTCATTACAGGAGAGGCCTGAGCCTGCTTGCTCTGCTCTGCTCGACCCATTAACAAACCAGTCTGGCCCTGCTCCAGGAGTCAGAGCAGTGGGCACTGCCCCAGCCCAGGATGCGTGGTTACTGCTGAGCTGAGAGGGGTTGTGGGGTCACTGGCCCTCCAGGCACAGTAGGGGACTAGAGGGAAGGAAACTCCCTGACACTGACATCTCTCATAGTCTGCACGTGCCCAGGGTATTTATGGGTATTTGTCTCCATCTGAGAGCAAGCAAATGAAGGCTCAAAGGCCACCAACATTAGGAATTGCCACTCACTTTGTAGTGACCACACATGTGCGTATTTACCAAGACAAGTTTCTAGCTCATTTGCACAAAGGCGCAATATAAGTGAGTGGAGGTGGGTCAGAGAGGTTGAGTAGTTTACCCAAGGTCACCAAGTAGGGGAGGAGTGGAGATGGGATTTAAACCCAAGGGTCCTGGCAGGACACAATCCTCTGCAGGCCTCCTGGGGGGCCTCCCTGAACAGCTCCCCTTAAACCCACCCTTGCACGCTGGGGCCCAGTGTGGCGATCCCAGGCCCAGCTCGGCACCCTTGGACTCCTTTCCTCTCTCTCTCTCTGGGGTCTACCCCCAGGTCAAACCTCTCCATCTTCCCATCCTTCCAGCCTTCCAAGACATCCCTTCCCTGACCCCTCCTGCATGGCCTCTTGGTATCGACCAATCTGACTCTCAATCACATTCTGGATTGTGGAGCTGGCAAGAGCATGGACTCTGGAAGCAGACAAACCTGGCTCTGCCATTTGGGTAAGTTATTTAACCCCTCTGAGCCTCAGTCTGCTCATCTGTAAAATGGGAATAATAACCCCTAGCGGCTTCATGGGGAAAGACCTGGCAATCTGCTCATGTAAAGATTATGGCCTAGAAAACCCTATGGGGCATATCTACTCTGTCACATGGGGTCGCTATGAGTTGATATCGACTTGACAGCACCTAACAACAACAACCTCAGAGGGATGCTATTAAATGAGGTGAAGTATGTCAAGTGGCACACAGTAGGTGCACAATAAGGGACAGGTCACTGGGCTAAGGACTCCTCCAGGCCAGGGATGGTCTGATACACGAGTGTCCCCTGGGCCCAGCATCAAGCCTAGTGCAAGGTGGTGCTCAGATACAGTGTAGTGAATGGAAGAAGGTGTGAATAGTAGACTGTGTGGCACAGGATGTGTCAGGGCCGCCTGTGGATGGGGTCATCAACCAAGCCCCCAACTCATTTTCAGGCTCAGGTCAGGGCCCGGGGAACCAAGAGAACAAGCTCACATGACACCCGAGCCTCCCTCGTACCAGAGCCCTCTGAGGTGGGACAGAGGATGAGCCGGGCTGGGGCAGAGGAAGCAGCCATCTCCTAGGGTCAGGCAGTCCCAGGCCACAGAGGGGACAAAGGTAGGGGT